TCATATATCAGAAATGATCATAATGAGGGAATTTGGATAAATTCATCCGTCCGCATTGTTAAGAAACAAGTAATTCAAGCTCCAACCAAGAAAAGAAAGAGATGTTAGTGAAAGAGGTAGCATATTAAAATGTTTATGTTTATGTTTGTGTTTACGTTTAAGTTTATGTTTATGTTAATTTTTGGCATTGTCATTTTATATATATTTAAATGACTATGGAATTTTATATTGGGTTTATGTTTATGTTTATTACTGGTTAGATGGCTACTAACGAGGATCACCCACATGATGATTTTGGGCATGATGGAGATAAGCACGTTAATAAAATGGAAATGAAATATAGACGAGGAATAATAATAATGAAGAGAATCATTTGAGATAGAAATCAAGGCATAAAGTATGATGTGCATTGGAGTCAAGAAGGCCAACTAATTGAGCCTAACGGTTCAACGTTGATGAGTTATCTCGGTTCGGTGGTAAGGAGAGAAATTCCAATTACATGTGAAGATTGGAGAGCAAGAGTGTTGGACGACGCTAAAGATAAAATATGGAGTGAGATACAGGTGCCATATATGATGTTATTTGTTTTTAATGACAATTATGTCTTTAAATTACTTATACTAACCCACTTTATGTATGATTTTCATAGATGTCATTCAATATTGAGGATACCAGGAGAGATTATATACTCAAATTGGCCGGAAAATTACATAGAGGGTTTAGAGCTTTTTTATCCAACAAGTTTCTTAGGGATGCAGATAATTTTTTTGTTGATGCTGAGCTTCCAAAGAAATATGCAGACTTGTTTACACCTGAAGAATGAGAAACTTTTAAATCCAAAATAAGTACCTAGAAATTTGATTGTTTAAGTGTCGTAAATAGAAACCGAGCATCAAGTCCAGCATATCCATACAAAAAAGGCGTATGGGATATGCACGCTTACAACAATCTATTGTAAGTATCTATAAATTGAAAAGTATATATAATATATGCACGCTTATATTTGATCATGTTATTTGGCTTAATGTGTAGTTAAAAAAGGAGAATAGTTCTGAAACATCTCTTCCGGAACACATTTTGTAGAAGGAAGCTCGTGTGTGTAAGGATGGAGCTGTTGAAGAAAATTTTCAACAAATTTTTGAGAGATGTGTAAGTATAACATTATTTATTTAATTACATAATACTTTTATTTATTTAATTACATAATTCTTTTATTAACATATCATTCTTTAATTAAAATATTTATATGAATTTCAGGAGACTCTTTCTCAGTTTATACCTCCAGATGAAGATAATGATTGCAGGAGAATACTCTCACGAGCATTAGATATTCAAGAGTATTCTGGTCGGGTGAGGGGTAAAGAATTTGGGATCACTCCAATATCCTTGGAGAAAAAATCAAAGACAAAAACTCCTAGCAATAAAGAACTTCGGGAAAAGTTGGAAAAGTTACAACAATAAGTTTATGAGCTAAGAAAGGAAAAAGAAATAGATCAATCTACAGGTTTTAAAGTACTAGTGACAAAGGTAGTATCAATGGTAACTTTGGATCGAATATTCCTGAGTTAATTATATACCATATTTATAAATTATATAACCATATTTATTAATTATATAACCATACTTATTAATTATATAACCATATTTATTAATAGTTATAGGGCATTTCCCGGTGTCAACTCTATTTGTCGTCACCGACTTATCATATGGTTGGCAAGGGAAAAGTGTATAATACTTCGGGAGAAATGCTTCACCATAAACCGCTCCCAAATTGCTTTTTGAAAGTATCGGTTGATGTTGTTTTAGAGAGGGGTGTGTTGTTACCACTACCTGACGATGTGGCAGATGCAACATTGGTGGAAGATGCAATATGATCGTTTGTTGCATGCTCGTCAAGCCTCGTCTGCGTAGATAATGAGGTATGCTTAAAATTGTTTACTATTCAAATTTTTTAAGACAATTTTACTTACATTTTTTTACATGGTAATGTTAGACTCCAACAAAATCCATTCCAAAAGGTAAGGGGATTAGGCGGGAAACTGAGTCAATTGCATCAATTGAGGTACAACACAATTATATGACATTTATGCTATGAGAAATGCTAATTTATGATTTTATACTTCCCCTAACTAATTATATGATAACCAGATTCATGCTAAAGAGATTGCACAAGTCAGTAGAGGTAAGGCGCCTGAAATTAGCAATATTTCCACACAAAAAAAGATTGTTGCTAAGAAGACAGTGGCTAGCAAAAAAATTACTGCTCAGTTCAGGTCGTGCCTTCTGACATATTTAGAAATAACAGATATTCTAGATGGTGGTACCCTCCTTATAACTATGAGTGCAGACATCTTTGGTTTTGAATACCTGGAAGCAATTGGTAGAGAGGATATGGAGAAAGTATTTAGACATTTGGAATTAGGCCTCGGTGTTATCGGTACATACATCAGGTATACTCTGATCTAATTTGTTTAATTAGATGAACAATTTATTTCCTGATTTCAATGAATATAGTATAATGTTAATGATGTTTTAATTTAAGGTTTATGTATGACAATATTGTGCGTCCGCGTGGATTAGAAGCAAGATTTGGCTTCTTAGCTCCCAACACTGTCAATTCAGGGTTAATCGTAACAAGACCATATGATGTCATAGCATATGTACTCGGTTTATTCGTGGCCAACAAAGATACTGATAAGTTGTTATTTTTGCCATATAATACTGACAACGGGTTAAATTTTCATCCTAACTTGATCTATTATAATTTTCCGTTTTTGGCCATTGTTATTCTTTGTTTAATCTTACAGTGGACACTGGTTATTGGTTGCGATTAATCTTATGAGAGAAACTGTGTATTATCTGGATTCGTTATACAATGATTGGTCAACATATCCAGATTTGAAGCAGATGATTGACACGTAAGTTTTTCGCTCCCAAAGAGATATTCAAGTTTATGTTTATGTTTATGGTCAACATATCTGGATTTGTGTTTATGTTTATGTTTCTATGTGCGATTATTCTAAACAGTCTTTTATATTTTATTATAGCATTCTACTAGCTTTTCGCTCCCAAAGAGATATTCAAGTGCCAAAAAGTAGAGCCAACAACGTTACATGGATCAGAGTGGAGGTATATTTTCACAAAGAGATATTATGTTTTGATTATATTAGTGAAGATACTTGATAAAACAATTTAAGGGGTATATCCTGATATATATTCGTATTTTCTTTCTATGTGTAGTGTCATCGTCAGCGTAACAGTATAGATTGCGGCTATTTCGTGTTGAGGTTTATGAAAGAAACTATTCTTTTGGATCGATTAGAGATTTCATCCACGGTATGGATTTCTAACTTAGGAATTACATACTATTTTCATATTTTGTGTTTCTCATAAAATGACATATTGTTTTAACTAAATCACATACTATGTTAATTATATTATTATATATGTAGTACTTTGAGGAATTCAATTGTACACATTACTCAAAAGATCAATTGAATGATTTTATGGAGGAATGGTGTCAATTCATTATCGGGTTCAGAATTTTATAAGCTAAGATATATTGTCTTATTTCCTTTGATGAGAACTTTTGAGTTTTGAGTATAAATTAAATTTGAATAAAGTACAACGTTAATATTATCATGTTATGAATTTCGATCATTTGTTTTTTTCCTCCAGATTTATAGGTGCATGTGTAGAAGATAAAGCTAAGATATTCATGTTGTTGTTGTTTCATGAGAATTCTCGAAGATAGTAAGATGTAGATGTAACATCAATTTTGAATTTTAGAATTTTTAACTTGTAGAATTTTAACTTGTATCATAAATTTTGTAGTTGTTGTTGTATATATCATCAATTTATATATATGTGTAATTTTTATATATGCATATTTTATTGGAATGAAGCTACCAAATATGGTGCATAATATGGTGAAAACCTGGTTCAAATATAGTTAAAATTCTGATTAAAATGCATTATATATATTGGACAACACTTTTGTAAGTCAAAATAGGTATTTTATTAAAAAAAAACCGTGGCCAATAGACAATGCTTTAAGAGAAAAGTGTTGTAAAAACTCAAAAAAAAAAAAAAACGCTGTCTAAAGTGGGAAAGCGTTGTCTAAAGTGAGGGAATAGACATGCTTTTAAAGGGAAACGCTGTCTAAAGCCTAACTTAAAAAATAACAAAGCGCTGTCTAAAGCAAAAATGCTGCTAAAGGGGTATATAAAAAAGCGCTGTCTATTTTAAAAGCGTTGTCTAAAGTGGGCATAAGAAAGCGCTTTTACATTGAAAAAAAGCGATGTCTTTTCTTTTAGCAGCGCTTTAAAGCGCCGTTAAAAGACAAAAAATACGTTGTCTAATGTCTTGTTTAGCATAGTGGCGGTTTACTATAATTCTCATTTGAGTTAATAACTGACCCCACCGCTTATATTGTCTATATTGAAAGTTAGTTGATTGAATTTAGTTTTTTTTGATAAGGTTGTTGGGCTATATTTACTTTTGAATGAAAAATTTGGTTGTTACATATATCTGTCCCATGTGTCTAGAATTATTCCCTATCTATTTAGTAAATTGAATTTTAGTTCCTTAAGGTGGGTTCAAGTCAGTTTTGTAGAGATTAGTTAGGTTTAACCTATACATTTTAAAATGGTATCTGAGCCTATCATAGATCACTTGTTGTGCTTTCCGCATCCTTTGTGATTCGGCCTCATTGAGGCCCGAGTGTGAGGGGTTGAGTTGGATTTTCTTTCTTCAACACCGTCTGTCTCTAATAGTGATCTAAATTGCAGCATTTGGCTTGTCTTCATTGCAGCCTCCAACGCAATTCTTTGTATTGGGTTTGAGGTGGTGAATTGGTCTCGCATTGCTTAAAGATACGGTATTTGTTGTGTTTATGACAATCTTTACCTTACAAATTGATTTTATATTGATGAGTTTGTCCAACCCACACATTCTAAGAATTTTGAATGAGCAAGAACAATAAAAGTAGGCAGCAGAGGAAAGAGTAAAGCAGCACGGAATATTATAGAATATATATCTTTATTATAAATGCAACATCCAAACTGGAAAAAAAATTCATTCTGCAATACAACTACAGAAGAAAGTCTGATAGAAGCCGAGGAAACTCGCAGAGGTGGAGCCCTCGTTGCCCTTCCTTTATTTTCATTAGTTAACTCCACCACTAATGCTGGTAATACTGCAGTAGAAAGAAGTGACATGCTATCTGCTTCTTCCTCTCATCCAAACTATATTTAGAATCTGATGCTGCAATACAGCAAAAACTCAAACAAATTAATAAGTTTTTCAAGTTCGAATCGAAGACCTCCTACTCAATTTTTTCTGATAGTAGAGATTCGAATTTACAGATAAGAATATGCTATGAGAAGAATGTGTTATAAAACTTACGTCGCACAGTTGGTGGAGGTGCTTATCCTGTAAGGAATTTTAACACCACATTTACCAGGAAGAGTAGCAGCATTCTTGGCATTCAAACCTCGAATGGAACCAGCAGCACCTTTCAAGCAGTTGCAAGCGGCCTTACGGTCGGGGATAGTTTTTGCCTGTGCGTTAAGTCTCCTCACTCCACCAAAGCATCCTGGTGAAGGACCAGGACCACCCTTAAGATAATCAATGCATGGGACAAGGGCACCGGTTACCGCTCCGCATGTGACTATAGCCTCTGCCTTGGGTGCAGTAATAACCACCAGGCACATCAATGCAGCCACACAAGAAACTATCAAGCTTGCCATTGATTCTCTTGAAAATTGATTGAAATAGAAATATTGCAATTTTCTTCTGTTATTGCTTGTGCTTGTTGAGTATAAGGGATTCAAATGTGTTGGTTTATATAGAAAATGAGAAAGGTGGTCTTTGGTATGTGTTTGGTGTCAAATCAAATCTTTTGAAATTGGTTGTATATGTCATAAATATTAAATGAAATTCTATTTTATCACCCCGGCAGCTAATACCTACTTTCCGTTTGATTTATTAATTAATTGATACTCCTTCCGGTCTCATTTATAAGAAAAAATTAACTTTTTATATACATTGAATAAGTAATGTATTTGGACAATATATTGTCCAGATACATTACTTATTTAATGTATCTAAAAAGTTAATTTTTTCTTATAAATGAGACCGGAGGGAGTATATATATATATATATATATATATATATATATATATATATATATATATATATATATATATATATATATATATATATATATATATATATATATATATATATATATATATATATATATATTTCTCTCAATTTAGTGAAATTTTGCTTATAATACTAATAGGAGTGAAGATTTTGATTATTAAGTTATCATTATATCTTTCATTTGACACATTATTTGAGTGAATAGATAAATTGGTCTTCAAAATTGTTAGTAATGGGCAAAATATTCTCTATTGTTTGTAAATTTTTAAATATATTCTTAAAATTGTAAAATGTGAGTTCAAATAGCCTCCCTATTTACTTTTATAGCCAGAGATTATAACGTGAGATGTTAACATACACAATAATATTTTCCTAGTTACTAATTTTGAATTTAATTGAATAGTATGCTTCTAGTTGCCGTAACATTAAGAGATGATTGTATGGTTTTGATTGATAACATGGACCGTAAATTAATGATGGTAATGGCTTTTATTGGCATTGTTTTCTTTTAATAATAAAACTATGAGTTGAAAAATGTGTGTGAAGTTGCCGTAACATTAATTTCGGCTTTCCTATTCCAAATGCAATACGTAAAAGTCTAGGATTAGGACCAGTACTTCTTCAATGATTTAGTTTTATTAATATTTATTGAAACACTTAACAGCAAGCTTTGGTGTTATTTAGGTTACTATTAAAATAGTAATAATATGAGAACTGATTCTCGAATAAGACTATATCAATGGTGGAAAAAAATTAATGTCCTCGAATTAGACTATATCAATGGTGGAAAAAAATTAATGTCCTCGAATTAGACTATATCAATGGTGGAAAAAAATTAATGTTAAATTTTCTACTAAAAATAGTTAGTGTTAAATTAATCACTTATTGACTGTCGTGGAGGCTCTATTTAAGCAGAACAAAAATATGCATGACAATGTCTAGACTCTTCAGGCTCTCAGCTAGTCGGACATTGGCACGGAGGAAGATCTTATGGATCCACAAACATTGACTGAAGTCATATGGAACAGCGCGGTATCAGAGAACTACAAGTCACTACCATTGACGTCTTTCGATGACAAAAGAGAACCTCGAAAGTATATCATACCATCAATAATCAGATGGCGATAGTCGGCACCTCCGACTCCCTGAAATGAAAACTCATAGCTGGAACATTCAAGGACGCCGCTTTGCTTTGGTTCACGAGTTTGCCGAGGTTTTCATCACTGGCTACCCCGACTTAACACGAAAGATGGTCCCCCATTTTGCAGCCAGTAAACACAGGAAGATGTCCACCGCTAGCTTGTTCAGTGTACGACAAGATCCCACTGAGTCTCTCTGCGAGTACATGGGGTGCTTCAACGAATAGACCATAAAAGTCTCACACCTAAATTAAGAAATGTTTGGAAAGGCTTTTCAGAATAGTCTGAGGGCAACTATTTAACGAGTCTCTGGCTCAGAAGTCGTCCTCTAACATAGATGAATTAATGAATCGGGCAAAGTGTTACATCAAAGATGAGGAAAGTAACATGGAGAAGCGATCTAGGGATGCCAAAGTAAAACCCCCTTGCCAGATCGGAAGGGTCATCAACGAAAGCAGGAGCATCAAAGATTCTCATCCCGAGATAGGAACGTGACACGCCCGAACCGAAGGTTATATGACAACTCCCCCGATGTCTTTGTAACACCCTATTTTCTCCATCGACAAATTAATAAAATCAGAGTAAATTAATTCATAAAACAAAACATCAGGAATATGATGCCACATTTTACCACATATCAAAATCTTCTCGTGCATAATTGAATTAATACATAACAAATTTTTTCGGATGAACAGACAACACTTTTCAACATAGTTCTCAATTTCAACTTTATTAACGCAACGAAATAAAATCAAGTTTGACATTGAAATATCTTCAACCAGCATCAAATAATAATTGATCAATAAACGAGAGTTTATAATACTCTAACATTATCATCAAAATAAAACAACGAAATAACAAAAAAAAAACAAGCGTCCATCCCCCCCCCCCCCCCCCCCCCCCCCCCCCCCCCCCCCCCCCGTCGGTGCTACGTATCATAGCACTAACGCCTACTCAAAAATAAGAAGAGAAACCTCTTCTAGACTCCACAACTCGGACTACTCCTTGTTATCTGCATATTACCCATATAGAAGCAACATTCAAACAGAAGGGGTGAGATATCATAATAATATAAAAGAAAGCATAATAACGACTAGATAGCAATTTAAGTACACATAATTATACTTCTTTACCTCACACCTTTTCTTAATTCATCGTACCACAAGGTACATCAATATACAATCAATTACACAAATGAAACATAACATCCATCATGATATATTCATACTTCTTCAACATCCAAAAGCATCAAACTATTAATAATAATGTAATTGCGATGAGACTGAAACTGACTAAAATGTATGTGGTACCATTAGGGCACAACCCTCATCATAATGCCAACTTAGGGCAGTAACAAAGGATAATCCCTCATCAACACGCCAATACAGGTCATCTCTCGCCCAATACAAGCCATCTCTCGCCAATACATACCATCTTATCATGAATGCATGCGACACCGACTTGCAACAACGTAATTTACATTGATATTCATACTTATCAATGTCACACCAATACAAGCCAT